ATTTTTTTGTTTGTTTGCTTATTTTTTTTTACCTCCTTTCCTATGGGGTTGTTTTTTTCTTAAAGACAGAATGTATAAAAGTTTTTTTCTTACTGAATTCCTTATGCATTCTGGATACTAATCCCTTAGTTAAATGTGTTGCCTGCCAACAGCTTTTAGCAGTTTGTGGTTTATTTTTTTACTCTCTTCACATGCTTTTGATGGGCAACTATTACATCAGAAGCATGTACAGATTGAAATTTCAGTGTTCTTTTGTGTTTTCAAATTTAAGCTTTCAAGTTTTCCTTTTTACACTTAAGTCCTTATTCTGTCAGTAATTAAGGTTTGTTCATGTTGTGAGGTAGAAATCCATTTTTATTTTTGTTTTCTAATACGGAAGTGAGTTCATCTCTTTCAACTGGTCTGCAATGTCAGCTTTATCATAAATGAGGTTTCTATATATGTATGACTGTTCTCCTCTTGTCAGTCCCACAATGTCTTAATTGCTATAGCTTTATGATAAGTCTTGATAGCTGCTAGGGTAATTCCCACTGCTTGGGGGTGTTTTTAAGGAGTAAGTAGTTGGCTATTCTTGGACCTTTGCTCTTAAAGCTTATCCATTCCTAGAAAAGCCCTAATAGATATTCCATTGAATCTACATTGTAGAAGAGAAGTGGAGATGTACATATAGGGAGAAGAGCAACCTTTGTGTAATTTATTTGTAGATACATTTGCACTTCCTATGAAGAGATTTATGTCATCTGAAAATAATAGTTTTATTTCTTTTCACCTCTATAAATGTTGAAGAGAAGTTATCATAACAAATATTTTCTCAATTATTCCTAATTTTAGAATGGTTTTTATGTTTCAGTATCAACCAAAATATAATTGAAGTGAGTTTTCAACTCGCTTACATGACTGGTAGTTGATATGCTAGCTGCCAACTGGCATTCCTCTCTAGCCTGGTGGCCTGTGAGTAATCTGGCTTCTTACCATGGGCTGGTTTTCTCCAAAGCATTTATTTCGAAAGCACTAAGTGGAAACTACCCAGCTTCTTCTGGCCTAGCCTTGGAAGTTATTCAACATCACTTCTGTTGCATTCTGTGGGTTTTAAGTGAGTTACTGAAGTTGGTCCAGAATCAAGGGGAGGGGATATAGATCCCACTTCTCAATGGCTGGAATGTTGAGGATTTTGATGACATGTTTTGAAACCTCCAAGCCTAGAATACAGAATTTTCATAAATGTTTTTCCATGTGTGTTTGAGAAGAAAATAATACTCATTTAGTTATAGGATTCTGTGTCTATTAATTGTAGCTTGTCAGTTTTTTGCTTGAAATCTATGTTCTCTTACTGCTTGCCTTGCTAGTGTAGTTTTTGTTATCTGCTTATCTGATCAATTAATTGAGAAGTGACACTCATTATATTTCAAAGCTATTGTTATTAGGTGCATAGAGTAGAGGTCTAGAATTGTTTTATTTTGCTGCTTTTTATCAATATGTATCTCTAGAAGAATGCACTTCAGGGGCTCCTGGGTGGCTCAGTCGTTAAGCGTCTGCCATCGGCTCAGGTCATGATCCCAGGGTTCTGGGATCGAGCCCCGCATCGGGCTCCCTGCTCAGCGGGGAGCCTGCTTCTCCCCCTCCCACTCCCCCTGCTTGTGTTCCCTCTCTCGCTGTCTCTCCCCCTCTCTCTGTCAAATAAATAAATAAAATCTTCAAAAAAAAAAAAAATGAATGCACTTCAAACCCAGGTCTCAAAAATTTTTATATATTTTGTATGTCTTCTGCTATAAAAATTATTTTGATGGATATAACTCTGCCATCTTTTATTAAGTATTTGCCTGGTATGTCTTTATTTTCTTTCAACATTTCTATGTCCTCCCAATTTAAGTGTGTGTCCTTATGAGGAGCATATTGGTAGGATTTTATAATTTATCTAGAGAGTTTAGTCCCTTTATATCAGTCATGATCACTGATCTATGTATATTTTTGTTCTTTCTTATTTTTACCTTTTATTTGACTTGCTTTTTCTAGTTTTCTCCTCCTTCATGGCTTGCTTTTTTCTTTTCTTTCTTTCCTTCTTTCTTTTTTTTTTTTTTTTTTCATTAAGACTCCATCATCTCCAGTTCCACTTTTTTATTCTCTGCCAATTTGGGATGTTTCTATACTTCTATTCTTATTGTGTACCCTGGAAATTTTTCCTGCGTATTTAACTTAAAGTCTAATAATTGGGTTTTTTAAAAATGACTTTCTGATTAATATTGGCCCTTAGACTGCTTTGACTTCAGTCACTACCCTCCTGATTTATATGCTATTTTTATTCAATTTTAGTTACATCTTGTTTTTTAAAATCTCTCAAACATATAGTCATTGTTTATTTGTATCTATGTACATGTTTAAAATTTACTCATCATTCTTTCTTGAATCTTAGATCTTTCTTCCAAAATCATTTCCCCTTTTCCTGAAATATATCTTGTACAAGTTAATTTAGTGAGTCTGTTACTTATAAATAGTCAGTTTTGGTGTGTCCAAAATGTCTGTTTCTCCCTTGTTCTTGAAACCCTGGTTTTGCTGGGGTTAGATTCCTAGGTTTACTGTTACTATTTGAAGATAATATTCTACTGCTTCTGATTTCTGTCATTCCTGCAGAAAAGTCTGCTGCCAGGCTAATTATCATTCCTTTGGAGGTAATTTGTCTTTTCTCTTTCTCTGCTTTTATGGTCTCTTCTTTGTCTTTAGTGGTGTTTCACTTTAATGTATCTGACTGTGGATTTTTTTTTTTAATTTGTTTTGGATTCATCGTACTTCTTGAGTCCTATGTCTTAAGTTCTGTGAAATTCTCATTTGTTGCCTCTTTGAATATTGTCTTCCTCATTCTCTCTATTCTTTCTTTTGGGAATCCTTTTAGAAATCTAATGGAGTTTCACATGTCTCTTAACCACTCATTTTCCGTCTTTTTGTCTTTCCATATTTCTGTACTGCATTGTGGTGATTTTTATCATATGTACATTCTAAGTCACTACTGTTCTTTTGAGCTCTGTCTAATCTGCTAAGTAACCCATACACTGAGTTTCTAATCTTATTTATACTATTTTTTAATTTCTAGATGTTCTCTTTGGTTCTTTTGTATATCTGCTTAGTCAGTTTTGATAGACTCCTAAAAGAATATTCCATATTTTCAATTCTGTCATTTATCTCTTTATGCACATGTAACACATTTGTTGTATTCTCTTTATCCAGTAATTCTTTTTTTTTTTTTAAGAGTTTATTTATTTATTAGACACAGAGAGAGACAGCAAGAGAGGGAACACAAGCAGGGTGAGTGGGAGAGGGAGAATCAGGCTTCCCGCGGAGCAGGGAGCCCGATGCGGGGCTCGATCCCAGAACCCCGGGATCATGACCTGAGCCAAAGGCAGATGCTTAACGACTGAGCCACCCAGGCGCCCCTATCCAGTAATTCTAATATCTGCAGTCTTTGCAGATCTAATTCTATTGTTTGCTTCTGCTGTCTCTCACTCATGGGGCTTGTTTAGCAGTTTGTGGTTGGGAACTCATTTTCCTTGGAACATACTTGTGGAAAATTTTTGAGACCTGGATTTAAAATGCATTTTTCTAGAGACACTTTGCATTTGTTTTTGCTAAGTGTCTGAAGGCCCTACCAACCTGAGACACTTTAAATTTCCGATTTGGGATTTTTCAGGTCAGACAGTTCATATAAATTTAGTCCCCAAATCAGCTTTAATGTAGGCCTGTGATTGGGGATTCTCGGGGAAGACTTTTTGAATATCTTCCCTTTTCATTCAGCTAAGGATGAGATAGCATGTCTCTCTTTAATTATCCTCTTCCTCCACAGGACAGGAGCATTTTTTTCTGCTTAGCACAATGATGTGTCTCCCCTCCCAGGGGTCTGGCATTGTCTGCTGTGACCTACAGCTATTGCCCACTGAGCCTGGGCCTTAGGCGTATGCCAGCTCCAGCAGACTCACTTAGACCCTTAGGTTTCTGCTTTCTCATTATTTCTGGTCTCTGAGGAATTTTTTTACTTCCCTGCCACCTCAGAGTTAAATTTTTAAAGGTGTTTTAAAAAAATACTTGGTCCAGCTATTTTAGGACTACTACACTGGGAGGGATTTCCTTGACCATCAAATTTGCCATGGGTTGCTTTGCGTTAGGTGTTAAGCAGTGAAGTGGATTATGCTTCATTATACGATTGTTTTACGACTTTTACTCAGAGTTCCTTTTCTAAGGAATTGGAGCATTAAATCTAATCAGTTGAAATTAGGTTGCCCTTCAACCTAATGGGCACTGTTTCAAATGAATTCCTGTCTCAGAAGCACAGAATAACACTGTATTTTTATATCACACTTTAAGAATATTGCAAGTAATAATGAAATCCTACTTACGAGTTCATGGTCCTTATTATTTGAACTATCCTAACCTCTTTCAAAATACAAATTCACATTTTATTTTATTCACAGATAAATAGATTTAGAGTTTAGAAATGTTAAGATTAAGATAATTCTGTGTCCTTTTTAATCTTTAGAGGTATGGTTCTCTTTCAACAACTCTGAAGTGAGAATGAAGTATTATCTGCCACTTGTCATAATTCCTGATTTGCCCCTTTTTAATTTTCCTAAAAAACTTTGCACTTAATAAGTTACAACTTTTTTTTTTCCAGGCCCTGTATTGCTGAGGGAAAAAAATATTCCATTTTGAAGCAAACAAGAATAGTTTAGAATCCAACTTACTTTTTTATTTATTCATAGTCATCTGGGCTAGAAACCAAACATTTTATTGAGTGGATTAATCAAGGATACATTATGTTGTGTGCTTATTTTCCCCCAGTTGATGAGTGCTACATGTGTGTCTGTGTGTGTGTGTGTGTACTTGTACATAATGTAATTGGCTAGAAGTATTTTTTAGGTGTACTTAATGTAGCAGATACTTCCAGTAATAGACTTTCTTTGGCTTATACATGCATGTAAACCAAATGACTTATTATTCTATCTTTATTCTTCCAGGGTAATACTGAGCAACCTGTCCAAACTAGCAAGATTGGACTTGGAAGGAGAGAGTATCAGAGTTTACAACACCGCCATCATTCTCAGCGTTCTAAGTGCCGTCCACCTAAGGGCATGTATTTAACCCAGGAAGATGTGGTAGCTGTTTCCTGTAGTCCCAATGCAGCCAACACCATCCTGCGGCAGCTGGACATGGAGCTGATCTCTTTAAAGCGTCAGGTAGTAAAAATAAAAATCATATTGTTAATGATTCTATCTATTCAGTTTATCCACTTTTAAAACCTCAGTAAACTAAGTTTTTTGCAGATTTTCTCAGCTACCCACTTATATAAGCTCTACTCTTTAAAATTTACCTTGTTTCCAAATTCAAAGATGCCTCAGTCTATTCTAAATTTGAATCCCAGCATCGTTACTGGTTAGCTCTGTGATAGTGGGAAATAATAGAATTTCTCTGAGCTTCAACTTTATATCTATGAAATTAAGGATAAAATAATCATACTTCTCTTGCAGGTTGTTAGGAATTGGTTGAGATGTTAATTGCAGATTGTTGAGCTGTGTCTGGCACTTTTTTTTTTCTTTCTTTTTTTAATTAGCATATAATGTATTATTTGTTTCAGGGGTACAGCACTCACCATAGCACATACCCTCCCCAATGCCTATCACCCAGCCACCCCATCCCTCCCACCCCCTTGTGTCTGGCACTTTTTGAGTGCTCAGTGAATGATGGCTGCTCTCTTCATCCTCATCATTATTACCAGTAGTAGCTGCCATGGTATTATAAATATATCATCATCATAATCAGGTTAATCATGGTTAAGAGTCAGGATCTAGGGTCAGTGAACGTAAATTTTAACCTTAGCTACATCGTCTAGTTCCTGTGTAACCTCGGGGTAGCTGGTTAACTCTTCTTAACTCAGCTTCCTCATCTTGAAATGTGGATAATAATATGATGCTTGGGAGGAATTAAACAGGATAATATATGAGAAGTGCTTACAACAGTGCCTAGCACCTAGTAAGTACTCAGTTAATGGTTGTTCTTAGGTCTCTGGCCTTTCTTGGTCATCTCTTACCCTCTCTCTTGGTTTCTGTTGTTTTCCCTATCCCTTAGACCTAATAACTCAGCTAAGTCTGTATCAAGCACTCTTACACTATATGCCAGTGACTTCTGAATCTACTTCTCAGGCTTTGACTTTTCTCCCAAGCTCTGTATTGCTATATCTCTAGCTACCTGCTAGGCATCTTCATCTAACCCCTGAAAGATGGTTTTTCTCTGTTCCCTGTCTGTTGAAACATGAGAATCCTCTTCGATTTATCCCTTGCCATTATCACATACAAATCCAAGTGGTAACCTAGTTGTGTAAGTTTATCTGAGAAATTTTCTTTAAATTAGTCCCCTCCTTTTTAATCCCATCACTACTACCTTTGTTCAGGTCCTTATAACCTCTTATCTGACAGTAACTGTCCTGTGGATTCTCCTTGCTGTCCACTTTCGCTGCAGCTCATGCTACATATTGTTGTCCATGTCCATGTTATCTTCTTAAAATAATGGTATGATCAAAATCATTCACTTTAAAGCTCTTCGTTAATTTCTACTTGCCCTTAGCACGTTACAGCAGAGGTAGACAGGAATTGATCAGAAGGTCATGTTAAGAAATTTAAAATTCATTGTGAGTTAAGAAACCACTGAAGGATTTTAAAGAGAGGTGTAACATCGTCTTATTTATATTTTTCAACTATATCTCTTTGCATTTTTTATTTTACTAGTTGCTCTAGGGATTATAGTATGCATCCTCAGCCTACCATATCATCCTTGCTTAGGTATTACAATATTATCCTTAGAGTTAATATTGTGCCACTTTATATAAAATGTAAGAATCTTGCAACGGTATAATGTGGGATCAAGATAGTTTTTCTGTATCTGAAGCATTCAGATTTCTCTATCTCTTGACCCTGGATATTCACCCAAGCTGCTCTTATATTTCTCATTTCTTCTCCAACAAACTTCTTGCATAAATATCTACCATATTAGCTTCCTCTGCTTTCTTAACATATTCTCTGATGCTTCCCAGTGTAATTTCTGCTCCATACACCATCCCAGTTCTACCAGTGGAAAAAGTTATCTTAAGTTTATTTATTAACCAATGGCCAGGTTTCATGCACTCTTGAATCTATTAGTGCTCAGTAGTATCTGACACTGACAACCACTTCTTCCTTCTTGGAATTCCTTTCCTTTGGCTTTTATGACACCAGGCTCTCTAATGTATGTAGTATATTTTTGACTGGATGCTTGGCCTTTAGTTGAACAATGAATGTGTGCATGACTCCCATCTTCCAAATCACAGCACTCTTTCTTTTTAGAGAACTTGTAAAACACTTTGCCTGTAATATCTTTAAAAGGTTTCAAGTGGTCTTGAAGCTGGGGTAGGGGTGACTGCATCTTTCCAGAAGATGTGGCTGCTCTTGCCTGGTCTGCTTCCCAGCTTCTTTTCTCCTGACTTTGCTTCATGCCCTGGGTGCCCTGAGGTTCTGACACCACTACCCTCACCACTGCAGCCATGATCTTCTTAATGGACACCCAGAAAATTGAAATGGGATTAACAGGATATGGAGTGTTTTTCTTGTCCTTTGGAATGATTCTTTTATTTGACAAAGCACTATTGGCTGTTGGTAATGTTTTCTTTGTAGCTGGCTTGGCTTTTGTAATTGGTTTACAAAGAACATTCAGATTCTTCTTCCAAAAACCTAAAATGAAAGCTATAGGGTTTTTCCTGGGTGGTGTATTTGTAGTCCTTGTTGGTTGGCCTTTGATAGGCATGATCTTTGAAATTTATGGATTCTTTCTCATGTTCAAGGGCTTCTTTCTTATGGTCATTGGCTTTATAGGAAGATTGCCAGTCTTTGGGTTCCTCTTGAATCTACCTGGAATTTGTAGATAAAGTTGGAGAAAGCAACAATATGGTAGAAAGACAAGTGAATTGGAGACTCATTTAAAATATTATATTATTTATAAAGTCCTTTGAAGAATATTCAGCACAAAATTAAATTACATGAAATATAGGTTCTTTACAGAAGTTTAAAATGTAGAGCCTACCAAGTACCAATAGCAGTTAACCAGCAGTGAGAACGGTCTTCTAACCAAGTGGTCTCAAGAAGTCAGCGAGCAGACTGAAGGAGTGAAATCTGTATTACAATACATACTGAAACTCTTGAAGGCGATTTTTTTTTATTCTTATGTTAATCCCCATACATTACATCATTAATTTCAGATGAAGTGTTCCATGATTCATTGTTTGTGCATAACACCCAGTGCTCCATGCAGAATGTGCCCTCCTCAATACACACCACCAGGCCAACCCATCCTCCCACCCCCCTCCCCTCTAGAACCCTGTTTGTTTTTCAGAGTCCATCGTCTCTCATGGTTCGTCTACCCCTCCAATTTCCCCCGCTTCATTCTTCCCCTCCCGCTACCTTCTTCCTCTTCTTTTTTTTTTTCTTAACATATATTGCATTATTTGTTTCAGAGGTACAGATCTGAGATTCAACAGTCTTGCACAATTCACAGCGCTTACGAGAGCACATACCCTCCCCAGTGTCTATCACCCAGTCACCCCATCCCTCCCACCCCACCCCCCACTCCAGCAACCCTCAGTTTGTTTCCTGTGATTAAGAATTCCTCATATCAGTGAGATCATATGATACATGTCTTTCTCTGTTTGACTTATTTCGCTCAACATAATACCCTCCAGTTCCATCCACGTCGTTGCAAATGGCAAGATCTCATTCCTTTTGATGGCTGCATAATATTCCATTGTATATATATACCACATTTGAAGGCGATTTTTAATGGTTTTTCTGCAGTGTGGGAAATACAGCCAGCCTTGGAGAACTGTGGTGTCTGTTTCTTTCCTTTTTCTTTTGAAAATGCAGGAACATCCATAGGCATTTGCTTTTTTAGAAATATCCACTGGAATGGCAAAAATATTTCCATTTGCATTGTCTCTAAAAGTAATACATGAGTTAGATTGGATGATGTCATTTTAATCTATTAAAACCAAGGAAAACCCAGTTTGATGTATGAATGACTTTTTTTTTTTTTTGGTAAACATAGGGTTAAAATTTTTTAAATTGCTCAAAATTTTTTTAAATAACGAGGGAATAAAATGTACTCAGTTACCTGTATTCATACTCTATCCTTAACGCTATTACTTCACTTATAGCCTATTTTTACTATAAAGGATCTTTTTTAAAGCTTTAAACTCCTTTCTTGGTTTGTCATTTGATGTGTGACATAGTAATGGTTTGCACTCTTGGGTTTACAGATTCTGCTCTTTTTATATCCCAGACACATCTCATATGAACACAGTCTCATATGAAGAAGTCCAAATTGACTTCCCCCACACCCCACCCTAGTTAGCTGTTCCTCCTTTGCATTCCCTGTCATAGAGATTAGCACCACATATACTCGGGTTACTTAAGCCAGTGGCCAGAGTTATCCTTGATTCTTCCTTCTCCCTAATTCTCCCCATCAAGTGTTTACAAACACAACTTAATTTTTGTTTCCACGTTGTTGCTTTTATCTGTCTGTGTGCCACCACCATGATTACTTCATTCCCCCTACTGTTTTAACTAAAGTCCTCAATGTTTCTCATCTGGATTGTTAAATTCATTTTTATCTTCTTCATTCCATTCCATTCTCCAGATGATTACTGGAATTATTGTTCTAAAAGGCAAATATGACTACTTTGCTCCCTTGCTTAAAAATTCTTTAGGTCGAGGTGCCTGGGTGGCTCAGTCGGTTAAGCGTCTGGCTCTTGATTTCAGCTCAGATCATGATCTCAGGGTCGTGAGATTAAGGCCCACGTCAGTTCCACACTCAGCACTGAATCTGCTTGTCTCTCTCCCTCTGCTCCTCCCTGCATGCATGCACGCACGCACGCTCTCTCTCAAATAAACAAATAAATAAAATCTTTTTCTCAGTCTTTAGGCAGAATTCAAATTCTCTGTTCAGTCCCAGCCTAACTGCTTTCCTGTCTTCCTACATGCTGTTCTGCCTGGAAGGCATTTCCTGCCCAACCTTGCCTACCTGCTTAATTCTCATTAATCCTTTGAAACTAAAATTTAGGTATCATCTCCTTTGGAAAACTTACCCTATTTTCCCCATTACCCATGCCTGTTAACATGAATACAAAATACTTGCTCTCTTTTCTCTCTTTCTCCAAGTCTAGGTTAGGTGTTTTAGTGTTTACCATACTTTTATATTTATTTATCTCCCCACTAATCTATGAAATCTTTAAAGACGGAGAATTTACATTTTTACATTTTATCTTTGTGTGTCTAACATGGTTGACCAACTAACTACATTTGAATCAACCTAAATTTTTACATTTTAGCTGTGTTAAGATCTCTGAGGAGGGGGCGCCTGGGTGGCTCAGTCGTTAAGCGTCTGCCTTTGGCTCGGGTCATGATCCCAGGGTCCTGGGATCGAGCCCCGCATCGGGCTCCCTGCTCGGTGGGGAGCCTGCTTCTCCCTCTCCCACTCCCCCTGCTTGTGTTCCCTCTCTCGCTGTCTCTCTCTGTGTCAAATAAATAAATAAAATCTTTAAAAAAAAAAAAAAAAGATCTCTGAGGCGGGGCGCCTGGGTGGCTCAGTCGTTAAGCGTCTGCCTTCGGCTCAGGTCATGTGGGATCAAGCCCTGCATTGGGCTCCCTGCTCAGCGGGAAGCCTGCTTCTCCCTCTCCCACCCCCCCTGCTTGTGTTCCCTCTCTCACTGTCTCTCTGTCAAATAAATAAATAAATAAAATCTTAAAAAAAAAAAAAAAAGATCTCTGAGGAAAAAATTTCACAAATCACTTTATAAATATTTGATTGTCCATACTGGAAAAAAAAAAGCAAACCGAGAAAAAAACGTAAACAAATGAACAAACAAAAATCCTAACCCTTAATATTCTAGGTAAAGATTAATAATATTGCTAGTAGAGTAGTAGTTAAAAACTTGGCATGGTTCAGATTCAGGTTCTGCCGCTTCTATCTATAGCGTAGGGAAAGTTTCTTGACTTCTCTGTGCCCAGCCTTCCTCATCTATAAAATGATTATAGTAAAAGTAGAGTCAGTTCTGCTATAATGCTTATTTTGATAACATGAATTTGTTCCAACACGATTGGTATACTAGGGAACAATTTGAGTATAATGTGAATTTTGCATTTGCTTATGTTTGATTTTTATCAGTGGAAAACTGACCTAGTTAAGTACATATACAAACACTTCAGATGTGTACCAGCTTCCTCAATTCACTGTATGTTATGAACCACACATATCGTATCTGGTGTTAAAATTTTTCATCTGATTTTCAAATAACCCTCCTTCTACTTCTACCACTTCCCAGTAACTCACAAGCTGCAACTATTTGACACTTCTGTAAGCAACCTCAGGTCTTTTCCAAGGTTAAGTACCATCTTTATTGTAGCATTTCTAAATTTCTTTATTATTTAAAATGCATAAATCTGCTGTCATTTTTATGAGGTTTTTATTTTTTGTGTGTGTCATTGATGAAGTGTTTCAGTGTTGGATCCCTAGCTCTGTTTCCCCATAAGTCCTGTGGTTTTTTGTTGTGCGATTTTGCCTAGTAGGGTGATTTTTGAGAATGCATATGTCAGCTTATAGCAGAACTCTTAACAAAGTAGTTGTGAGAATTAAGTGATTTATTACACGTGAAGCACCAACAATGATGCTTAACCTAATAAAAACCTAATATTATCCAATCTCATCATTATTATTCTTATTGGAATAACTTATTCTTATTAAAACATTATGGTAATAAGCAATATTGATGGAATTTTCCTCTATATACCATATGTCTTAGACATTGTTAAAAGATACTCAGATACTATGATTTGTAAACTGTTTATTAGCCTACTAGAGATATATTAGTTATATATATAATTAGTTGATTAGTGGATATATATAGTAATTGATGTGGATATTAGTTGAATGGCCCCAAGTGTGATAAAATGTAATTAAGTGTCTGTCCTCCTGAAATAAAATTTATGAAGGTTTTGGTATATATCCTTTTCATTTGTTGAGTACTCATACATTTACCTAAGTATGTGATCTGATTCATACTTTGGGCTATTTTGTTGAAGGTTCAGAATGCTAAGCAAGTGAACAGTGCACTTAAACAGAAAATGGAAGGTGGAATTGAAGAATTCAAACCTCCTGAGGTATGTTATTGAAGAATATATGTGACTAAGTATGGTGAAACCTTATTCTGTGAATTATCTATCCAGTATTTACTATTTTGGTTGCATGTGTTGTTAGTACTTTGAAGATGTCATAGCGTGGGTAATTTGTCATGTCTCTATTTTGTCATTTAGATAGTCTTTTGAGACTTGGCTAACGATTTAAGTGAAGTCAGTTCTTTCCTGCCGTTAGCAGTTCATATCAAGCAAAGTAAGTAGGGAAACACAACTATACAGATAGGCCCAGTGCATGTGAAAATAGAAGGTAATTGATGAGCAAGCCAGTACATTTCTGGGTCTGCAGCAGTGTTTGTTCAAAGCCTTTTCCTGCCTGTGTGAATTGGTAACACAACAAGAAAAAGAATAAGAAAAGGAGCTCTTTTAGCAATTTTAGCAATTTTTTATTTTAAGGTATTTGTCTTTTGGCTCAGATTTTTTATTAGGATTTTAGTGTGTAGACTTAATGAACATTCTTGTACTCCTATCCCTGAAAATGTGAAATCTAAAAGCAAGATGTAGATTAACCATTTTCTCAAGTCTTCCTTCTATTTCCTCTGAAACCTAATATATATTTAATATTTATGATAATTATAGGAGTACTTAAATGCCCATAAAGTCCAATCAAGTCTTTTCACAGAAGCTTCTATTATAAATCTTTTCTCTTGTCTCTCTCTCTTTTTTAAGACTGCTATGCTGTGCTTCATACCCTGGACTTGCCTTTCTATGTATTTAATAATCAGATAATCCTTATTTGGTCCTAAAGGGATGCTCCCTCGCCCCCCCATCACAAGATGCCTGAAATATCTACAAATGAAATATGCATGAGGGTCTGGGGGGGAGGGCAGAAGAGTTGGGGGGAGCGCTTCAGACCAAATGCACCATATTCTGTCTGACTCATTAGAATCTTTCAGAAAGGAAGAATCATTAGGAATAAAAGTGTTCTTGGTTTTGTTTGTTTGTTTGTTTTGAATAGTCTCTTTCAAGAAAGGTAGATAATGGGAAAAAATGAAATCTACATAGACCAATATAACATCTCATTCCAAACCCACAGGTAAACTGACAAACATTTGAGTGACATTTCTGTTTATTTAAAGATAGTAATACAAAGCATACTGCTTTATATTACTGTGAAAAAAATTATTTCAAGGGCGCCTGGGTGGCTCAGTTGGTTGGGCGACTGCCTTCGGCTCGGGTCATGATCCTGGAGTCCCGGGATCGAGTCCCGCATCGGGCTCCCTGCTTGGCAGGGAGCCTGCTTCTCTCTCTGACCCTCCCCCCTCTCATGTGCTCTCTGTCTCTCTCATTCTCTCTGTCTCAAATAAATAAATAAAATATTTTAAAAAATTATTTCAAATCTTATATTAAAATTATTTTAATTTCATATTTAATTATACATTAAAATGCATAAAAGCCAAAAGCTTTAAATGCCTATAATTTCATAACTTAAAAAATTAAAAAAATTATAGCAGATATTAAAAATAGGGGAATACCATAAAGAACTTTATGTCAATAAATTCAAAAATTTAAATAAAACTTAGAAATTTATAGGAAAATATATCTTACCAAACTTGTCTTAAGAAGAAGGAAAACCTGATAAATTTATAGTCATTAAGTAAAATGAAGGAACAGTTAACATTTTTTTCATAAGAAAATACCAAGCCCAGACAGTTTTACAGAAAACGTCTACCAAATTTTCAAGGAAACAATGATTCTAACCTCAAATTTTCCAGAAAATGGAAGAATAGCTTCACTCATTAACATTACATAAAGTAAGACATGAAAGTGCAATAGCATTTGTAACTTTATGCTATCTCATTTGATGCTCACATAAATCCCAAGAAGTAGATGAAGCAAATACTATTTTACATGACAAATCTGGGCCTCAGTGAGGTTAACTGGCTTGATAAACGTCACAGCTAGTAAACAGTGAAATTTTGGCTATATTTCACAATCTTAGAATCCAGTTGGAGTCCTAGATTGATATCCTGCTCCCCCTTACTTTTGAAAGTTTTCATTTAATAACAAAATTATATATTGATTCTCACATTTAAATGCAGTTCGGGGGTTAGAAGTTATCAGACATTTATTACATCTTTTGGATTTTTGTAAAAATAATGATCAAAATGAAACAACCAAAATCTTAACACTCTACCAATCATACAGTGAAGTTTGAATATTACTTTGAGGTTGATTTATTGAACTCCTTTGACTTAAAAATGTATGTAGGGTTTATTATCTAGAAAATACTCAGGATATATTTATATTTATCGTATTATTTCTGTTCCTTTGTAGGGAAGAACAGCCTGAATAGATCTATTTCAAAATACTAGATTAACAGTCTTCGTAAAGACCTTGAAAAATCATGTAATCTATCACCTTTTCTTTAGATAATAGAATTTCTATCTAGGGGTGCCTGGGTGGCTCAGTTGGTTAAGCGACTGCCTCGGCTCAGGTCATGATCCTGGAGTCCCTGGATCGAGTCCCGCATCGGGCTCCCTGCTCGGCAGGGAGTCTGCTTCTCCCTCTGACCCTCCCCCCTCTCATGTGCTCTCTCTCATTCTCTCTCTCTCAAATAAATAAATAAAATCTTTAAAAAAAAAAAAAAAGTCCCTTTAAAAAAAAAAAAGAATTTCTATCTAATACGTAATAAAAGAATTTCATTAACCATTAGAACAATAGGCTACTAAGTGATGTAACTCAACTGGAAGTAAACAGTTACTAAGATGCTTTACTTACTCATTTGATTGTATTTGTTATTTTCACTTAGGAAAAAATTTGGTGAAGAAAGTTTATTCACTCCCATAAGTATTTATTGATCACTTATTTCATGGAAGGCACTGTTTTAGGCACTGTGGGAAATGTGTGATGGATTTTTCCATCTGCCTTAAAAAAAAAAAAAACACAGTCTAGATGTTATAAGACAAACTGATTAAAGTTGTGTGATTTATAAGTAAAAAGCTACAAGAAAACAAGTGGTAATTACTCATTCTTGCTAGGATAATCAGGGAAGTCTTCTTAATGAGGGATGTTTCAGCTGAGGTTTGAAGGATGAGTAGGAGTTTTGCACATACAAAAAAGGGCAGGATGAACAGTGGCTTGGTATGGAACAGTACATTCAAAATACTTACGTATGGGGCGCCTGGGTGGCTCAGTCGTTAAGCGTCTGCCTTCGGCTCAGGTCATGGTCCCAGGGTCCTGGGATCGAGCCCCGCATCGAGCCCCGCATCGGGCTCCCTGCTCGGCGGGAAGCCTGCTTCTCCCTCTCCCTCTCCCCCTGCTTGTGATTCCTCTCTCGCTGTGTCTCTGTCAAATAAATACATAAAATCTTTAAAAAAAAAAAAAAGTATAAATCCTGTGAGGGAAAAAAACAGTCAACAGGCATTCCCTGAGCACTTATGTCCTCATTGTGGTGCTGATTACTATTGAGAATTTAGTGAAAGTGTAAAACAGTTTTCTCTCATGAAGCATATTGTCTACGTAGGAAGGCAAAGTTGGATGCAGAGGACAAGTGAACGTGGTGTATGAGAGGGATGTTAACAGAATTGAGTTCAACAGGGACTTCTTTATGATAGAGGTCAGTGGACAAGGGCTAGAGTATAAAAGTTTGAGAGCTAGGAAGAGAAGTTTGCCTTTTAAATTAGGTCAAATGGGAAGACCCTGTAGTTTCTTCAATATAAGAAGGATATAATGGGAATTTTTAATTTTAGGAAGGTTATCCTGGTTACACAGGCTAAATTGAAAACTTTATAGCTGCTAAAATACCAACGATGTGAGTGATAAAGTAAATGGTAAAAGGGATTTTGGGTATGGTCAGGTATTAGTTGTAGGAGTGGACAGCAAGTGATAAATCCAAAGAACATTGCAAAATAGAAAATAATATATCTATTTGAAGGTATGTAAGAGTGTTGGGGAGAGTGGTGGTCTGTGGGGTTATGCTTTGATTTGTTTCGGTTGGAGGTAGGAAGGTGGGACAAGGAGATTAATGAAACCAGGAAGGAAGAAACTAGGAGTGCTTTTTGAAGCTAGAAATTTCCCCATCTATTGGTGTTTTCATGCATAGGTGGGTGACATTCTTCATTATGGATGTTGGATGGAATTTTCAGCACTGGATGGAAGGTTTAACTTGGTGTCCTCTTCTAATTCTTTCAACTCAAAGATAGTATGAATCTACTACTGACAAAAATGGGAAAGATGCAAGAACTAATTTAGCAGGGAAAGAATGCAGTAAAGATGCCGAATTAACAAAGGATGTCATAGATTGTTCTAGAAGGCTCTTTGGGGCCTTTCATATTATTAGTTTTATAACTATTATATATTGGATTATTTTAGTTTAGATTAATATTTTATTATTTTAAAAACAGCAGTATTTCCGACTGGGATTTGCTGTAGAAGAATGTTCTCAGTGGTACTACCTACCTAACCATAACTACTACACAATTTTAGATTCCTAGATATATTCTAGTTGTCCTTTCTGTAAGTTAAACAAATCCCTGCCAAAGTTTCTTGGGTTTAAAAGAGAATAAAAAAATCAATAACTTGAAGGAATCTTATGTATTTAAAAAATTTTGACCCTGTTTCTCCTTCAGTCTTCCCTTTCTTCCACTGCTTCTGTTTTGTCATACAGACTCTTAATTCAGTGCAGTTTCAACCCTCCTCCCTGCATATTTCCACTGAAGCTGCTGTTTAAAGGCTAACACTGCTGCTGCTGATCAAATTCCTCAGTCTAACTCATTTTTCTTGCCTTTTCCTGAGCCTTGACATAGATGACAACCTCTCTCTCTTCCTTTAATTTTTGAGAGGTGATATCATTTGTAACTATTATGTTCCCTTTTCAGCTGTAATTTTCCTTTCTATATGTAAATATAAGCATTCTCCAAGTTTTTATCCTCAAAATTCACTTCTCTTCTCTTTGGAAACATCATACAAGCTCATCACTTCACTATACTAAAATTGCATCATATGACACAAACTCAACCACAGATATTCAGCCAAGTAAAAAGGAGTATGTTTAGTAATAGCAAGTAGAGGAGAGCTGGCAACCCTGCCTAAACTCCCATTTATCAAGTGTCTCCTACAAAGTAAGCAGTTAGGGGCTAGAACTGTGAATCCACTATTTCTTTAGAAGGCTTTAGCTTGGGGCACCTGGGTGGCTCGGTCTGTTGGGCATCTGCCTTCAGCTCGGGTCATGATCCCAGGCCCCAGGATCAGGCCCCACGTCGGGCCTTCTGCTCAGCGGGGAGCCTGCTTCTCCCTCTCCCACATCCTGCCTCTCTGTCTCTCTCTCTCTCTCTGTCAAATAAATAAATGAAAATCTAAAAAAAAAAAAGAAGGCGGCTTTAGCTTCCACAGGCCTCCTGTGTGAGCAGTCTCCTTGACTTGAAATTCTAGTATTTAAGAATGTATTTATGTTTTTCATTCAGTACTACCCTAAATTTCAACCAAAGCTTCATCTAGGATTAACTGAAAAACTAGTGGTCCATTTCAGTGCTGGAGGAATATCTGGCCATGTGGACTTATTGAGAGATTGTGTGCCTGTTTCCATGACCACCTTTGTAAGAACATTTCAATAGTAATTTGGAATTTATTATTTTTTTTTAAACATTTTTTTTTTTAAGATTTTTTTAATTTATGTATTTGAGAGAGTGAGAGAGAGAGCGCAAGAGGGGGTAGGGTTAGAGGGAGAAGCAGACTTCCCGCCGAGCAGGGAGTCCTATGTGGGACTCGATCCCGGGACTCCGGGATCATGACCTGAGCCGAAGGCAGTCGCTTAACCAACTGAGCCACCCAGACGCCCAGTAATTTGGAATTTAAAACAAAAATCTTTTTTTTTTTAATTCATAGGCAGATTTTAGAACCCTACATCTGAGTAAGATATGACTCCAGTGTTTTCCCTCATACAATTTTCCAGACCCTTAAAAGCTGTGTTTGCATAGATGAACCTATTTTAACCTCAAGTGGATCCTGAGCTCCACCTGAGTGACCTCATTGTCAGTGAATCCCAAGTTACAGTCATCTTAGTCTTGCCTTCCTGCACCTCCCCAATCAGCATTTCATAACTTCTTAGGTCCTTAACAGCACCACCCTTCTCCCAGCTCTCCAGGCTTGAAGTTTTATTCTGATTAGAATCCTGCTCCTCTCCCTCTGTTCTCTCCCCCCAGAAATCTATTGCTTATTAAATTTGGTGTGAACTCATTAACCTTGATTATTTACTGCCCTTGCAAAAGTGGTCCTTACCATATTCTAGTTTAGTTAAATATCACCAACTTTCCAGGCGTATTTATCACTTCTTCCTAATTGTTGCTCCTTTTGTTGCCTGTACATGGTGTGTCTTCTGCTGATCTTTATCTTTCAGAAACTTATCCTGTTGTTTAACCCACCTCGGTGTCTAGCCCCTCCAGCTGGCCTTCTTCCCTGTTCTAGTCATTGTGACTTTTTCCTCTCATCTTTGTATATGTGCTGCCGAAGCGAGCACTTTCCTCTCATCTTTGAATCCACAGTATACTCTGAACTTTTAATTTATCCTATCTCCTGATTTGTCTATAAGCCGAAATAAGCTTTCATAGTGCATGGTATTTCTCTTTATTTTTTGTTCCCTTTCCATTAATGATACCTTTTCTTCTAGTTTCTGCCTTTCAGGTTTAACAAACATCAGTTGATCAACTTCAACTTCTGCTTGCTCAGGCACTGTGCCAGGTGTTTTTTACCTATATCCTAAACATAGCTTTATATATATTTAACATTTATTCTAAATTTAATCCTCAGAACAACTTGCACTGTAGTATTGTAGGAGATCCTCAGTATCCAAATGCTCATTAGTCTAAAGGATTCATAGAGAAGCGGAAGTTGCCAAACAAGAGAATATTCACAGATGAACTAAGCACTTATAAAATTAGGCTCTGCTCATGAGCTATCCCTAATTAACTCTAGCTGTTATCTTTCCCATCCATCATATCAATATCCTTCTCTTACTTTCTTGTAATGCAAATACAGCATAAACCAAAATGAAATTTTAAACCTTGCAAAAGGTGCAAAACTTCCTGAAGTCTATGAAAGTACAAGAGAATGGCTTTAATCTCTTGCAAAATTGTTGACAAATGGGTATTTAGCAGAGTTAACAATTGAAGAAAAGAGCGTATTGACTCAGACGAACCTCAAAAAAGAATTTGAATAACAAAGAATTAAGGGAGGCCCTTGAAAAAATTGTTGAGGTCTTCAAAACAAAAATGACCCACTCTGTGCTCGTGTTGTAAATTTCAAAGCCAGTGAATATTACACCATTGTATGGTCAGCAAAGATATGCCAAAAATAAAATTAAAGCATATAAGCAAAGTCATTAACTATTAAAATAATTTTCATAAGTTTTAGTTTCATATTTCAGGTTAGGTTGCACTCAACCCTTTATTTTTTACCATTTATTCTGAAATATTTGGACCTGTTTTAATAAGGTTCTAGTACCAATTATCCTTGGGTACCAAGGACCTCTTTTATCTACCTTTCACAGTGAAGGTGGCATCAGACTGCCTGGGTATTAACTCAAATATTAGCTCCTATTCCATTCTTGTTCATCCTCTTTTGGGGGAACATATGTTTAGAATTTCAGGTTTTTCTTCTGTTATCTCCTTTTTCTTTTTCTTTCCTTTTTTCACTTTTTAAACCTTGGTTCACCCTTCTCTTGTTACTGCTTCTTTATAGCCGATAGCCCCCTCTTTTTCTTTACCTTTTTTTTTTTTTTAAAGATTTTTCTTTATTTGTCAGAGAGAGAGAGAGCACAAGCAGGGGGAGCAGCAGAGGGAGAGAGAGAAGCAGGCTCCTCACTGAGCAAGGAGCCCGATGTGGGACTCGATCCTAGGACCCTGGGATCATGACCTGAGCCGAAGGCAGATGCTTAACGACTGAGCCACCCAGGCGTCCTTTCTTTACCTTTTTAATGTTCTTTTGCTTCATTGCCAGTATGCTCACCTTGAGGCTTATCCACACTCTGCCTGGCCTTGCCTTGCTCTCTTCTTAATCTCATCATCTGGTGTTCAGTGCTTTCTGCTCTAGGTTTTTTCCTCCTTTACTCAGTCTTTTTTTTTAAACTTTTTCCTTTCTTCTCTAATAATTTTTTTCTAATTTTGAATTTTTGTTTTATTCTTTCTTCTGAATGCTTAACTTTCTATACCTCTTCACTTGTGGTGAGAAAGTAGATTTTCCCCAGAACCTCTGTGTACTGTAGAAATTTTTATTGCTAAGACCATGAGTGAGATAAAACCTAAACACTTGTTCTCAGAGGAAGCCTTTCTTTCTGTTTTGCCCAGCTTATCCTGTATTACACCAGGCCAATTTATCTGGGCAGTTTCTTCTGTAAACCTCTGTAGGCTGGTGTACTTATTTCTCTGCCCGTCCTTCTACTGCCAATGGTCCTTGCACTATCAGTGGGTATACACGAATGAAATTTGATTTAGTGTTTAATATGGTAGTTTTGCCATAATGAAAGTCCTAAATTTAGGATTTTTTTTGAACAAAAATATTGGGAGAAACGTGGGGAGGCCTTAGGGGGAAAAAATCTATTCTTATAGTGGGTCACTTTCTGCTTCAGAAATTTAAAGAAATATTTTAGGAATTAGGCCTGATCTCCAGTTCTGTATTAATTTATAACACTGGTTTTGGTGGAGTAAGGTTAGGTTTAATCGAAATGTGAAGAGAAAGAATTTTAGAGCGAGTCACAGATCCTCTCTAAGGAAGATAAAGTCTCTTAAATGTTTAAAACTAGGCTAAAATTAACACTTGCCATGTGTCACAGGAACATTGTAGTTGGAAAATGGATGACTAATAGATTTTCTCAGTTTTAATGCCTCTGACTAGAGTATAAATGTGAATGTTGTTCATTCTCCCAGATTGGTACATTTCCCTTTCATTATCTTTTTGTGTGGGTAAAAGGTAACTCAATATATTTTTTAATCCTTATAAAAGCAGAATCTTCATAAATCAGAGTTTTAGTAATCTCGTGTCTATGATTTGGTGAAAAACGAAAATAAGCACTTTGGAAAAATGTCTGTCTTCATATCCTCATTAGGAAACTTCTCTTTAATTTTGTAGTCAAATCAGAAAATTAATGCCCGTTGGACCACAGAGGAGCAGCTTCTAGCAGTGCAAGGTATATTAAAGATAAGCAGTTATTGTTGTTAATTATTTAATTTGTCATGAAAGGTGACTACCATAGTCCTTCCCTTCCTTTAGAAATGGATCAAGAGAGGGCTCTTGTGTTTACCACAAAGTCCTGAAAACCAGGAATTGTTTTGTTCTTGTGGATGTGACTTTACTGAGCCTATATGCATTTTGGGTCCCGTACAGCACGTAACACGTTCTCAGCCTTAACAGTGATGGTGATGAGAAGCTTGAACAAGTCATATGGTCTCTCTGTGCCTTTGCTTTAGTTTTCCTGCAGTTGGGTTCATTCTTACTATATTAGTCATTGATAACTCATCATTAAAAGCATAAACTATTGTATGTTTCTGGTTTTTCCAATTCCTCTGTATAATAGTGTTTCTCTATTTGACAAATGTTAGTTACTGAAAATATTAATGATTATTTAACTTTCAGTGTATTATAACTTAAGAGATGTGCCACTGAATGCTTAGAAACCTGACTTTAAAAATACATATGTATTTATATATTATATGTAAATAATAAAAGAGAAAGTTAAGAGATACATTGAAAAATATACATATAGCATTTTAAATGCATTATTTATAAGAATGCTTTGTTGAATTATATGGCAGAGCACTTACTTTTTGTATTATGAATGCCTGTGGGCAGATTGGTAGTGTTATAAACTTGGATTTTCTCTTGTTTGAATTACTTAAGAAAGGGCAAACTGTATATTTTTTTATTCAGTGGTGTAGTTTTCTTTTTTTTCTTTTCTGTTCAAGATAAACTATCTGCAGGACTGATTGTGTAATTATAAGTTTGGTCTACAATTTGGTTTTTCCTGGCTGAGCTCTCTTTGTGTTGAGTACTAATAGCTTTTTTATCTAAGTTAGTTACTATAAGAGAGTTGGACCCCTGCAAAACATATAAGTATACTTTGGAAAATATTTCTAATTATTCAAACACAGAGAACATATTTAACTCAAAAAGGATGTGCAGGTATCATTTGGATGTGAGAATAATGTAATTAAAGATTGATTAATAGATGACTCTGCAGTTTGGACTAGAGTGAGTAAGAATTACGCTGCCAGTGTGATTAGAAAATGTCACAGGACGGGCCATCAGGATGATGTCAGCCTTCTCTTTGGCCTATATAGCACAAAACAGTCATTTCATAAACAGAATAAATACTTGATCCTATGGAGGCAGGGTGCTGGATGTGCATTGAGCACATATGTAATTGTGGAACCAAGTTTCTGAATGAGTCAGAACAAAGTTTAATGAGTTTATAATGTTCAGTAATAGCTATTTTTAAATTAGAAACTGTTTAAAATTTAGATTAAAAAATGAGTAGGGGCGCCTGGCTGGCCTAGTTGGTAGAGCATGCTACTAGATCTTAGGGTCATGAGTTCAAGCTCCATATTACTAAAACCAAAACAAAAACAAAAAAACAACTAGTATTTTCAGGGGCTGTTTCATATTGATTTAGATCTGTGACTTACAGCTCTAACATAGTTATTTGGGGAAGCATTGCTTTTATTGATGTAAAGCTTGTGTTTCTGTCCATCCTAGTGTGTGTGGTGTGTGTGTAGCCTGTGTTTCTGTCCATCCTAGTGTGTGTGTGTGTGTGTGTGTAGCTTGTAGAATTTAACCCTGATTTCCAGTATTTCAGTTGTTTCAAGATTAGTATATTAATCCTGTACTCTAATATGAAAATTATCCCAGTGAAAGGATTTTTCTGGAGAGACTCACTTAGGAAAATCTGGGCTAATGTTTCTAGAGCATTCAGGTTTTGATATTGTTCTGCAGCACTACCTGGGAATCTTACGCCTGGGTTGAATATTACGCTGAGCTGCATTCAAAGGAGGGGACAATGGCAAGATTTACATGTATAGTTTGAGCTATATGTATGGACGTTATCTCAGTTTATAAATACTAAAACAATATTTATGGATATAATCAAACATTTCCTCTCTGCTGAGATATATTCAGTATTCTTACACACATTTAAAAAGTAATTCTTAATTATACTAATGCAGCAGTTTGTACAAAAATATGCATGTTCTTAGGGCTTTGAAACCGCTTTCTTGATATGTTCATGTCTTTAACTCTGTATGTGGAATTTTTGTTTCACTTCGAGTTTTTTAGGGTTTTTTGTTTTTTTCTTCTGGGAGGGGGGTTCATTACTTAAAATAAAACAATGTATAGCTATTTGTGTCCAAAATAGTTATTTTAGGGAAAACTAAAAAGTGCCATTTTTGCTAATGAGCCCACATGTTTATATGATGCTCAGAAGTGTGTCTTATAAACAGTATAATCTTATAGTAATATCATATGTACCTGAATCTCAGTGTGGTTAAGGTACATAACTGCAGTTTTTATTTGAACATGTAGTTTGCTATCCAGAAAGACCTGTCTTAGCAGGCAGTTGTTTTGTTTTTCTTCTCTTTAATCTTTATTTGTGATAAACCTTTATATGATATTATTATGACTGTTTCAGTTTTACAAAACAGTATATCATATAAGTTTTGATATTAACATTTTAGTTTATAAGCACTTTCTTTTTAAGACATTTTGTATATATATTCTGATTTAACACTCATTTGTTAAATGCCTTTTTAAATCTTGCTCATAGTTGACTATTAGAGTGACCTGAAGAGAGAACTATAAACTCTAGTGTCATTAGTGAGACTTATACTGTTAAATAAACTTTTTTATTATAACTCCTTTAAAACCACATATGTATATTAGGATCATTTCCTAGGGCTTAAATATATATTTCCCATTTTTTTTCCCCATCTACTTAATACTACTACCACTTAAATAATAACTATTTAAATAAATAATGAACTATTTTTCCTTCTTTCTCCCTTATTTGGAAGGGGGGAAATCATGTTCAGACCAAACAAGAATGTTTATACTTGTGTAATCTATCACTTTATTATGTTAATTTTAGTTCTAAATTGTAGTTCTAGCTATGTTATAACTTCATTAACATTCTTCAAGAGTCCCCAGGTAGGATGTTATAAATGTGGCTAATTTAAACCTCTCTCTAAAAAGTACTTGTTAAGAATGGTATTTCTATACTTTCAGTAATCTGTGCCAGCCTTAAGTATCTGAGTTTTCTATTGTAACAGATTAGTTAACAGGAGATTAATTATAGTCTTCACAATTTGTGTGAATGGAAATATCCCTGTTTATAGTTTGTGTCCTACATGTATAAATATTTTTTCTAATTTGTAGTGCTTTTAGAAATTATCCTAAAATCAAACTTGATATTCATATGTGACAAACATTTCTTACTTAGCAAGAATTAGATCCTGGGTGTATTGTTTTTCATGTAAAATGGAACAATGATTAGCTGTTTTAAAAAAATAATAATACACTTAAATGATAGTACAAAACATTGACTCTTCAAAGTGTAGAGGGGCAGAAGCCTGGTATACAGTATTTATTTTAGGCCTTCTCTTAAATGCATTTATTTCAAAATCATTAGTGCTAAAAAATAATACACTCCCCAACTAAAATATTAGTGCTATTTTACGGTAAACAACAAGAAACTTTTCCAGTTTTATCAAGATATCAGCTTTAATTTTTAGTTTAAATTGTCTTTTTTTTTTCATGTTGTCTGCCTTCTCTTATAAAACAGGAAATGACAGAACTACGTTCAAGTCAGTTATGCTTTCACAGTTAAATGTTACCTTCTCTTCCTGTAGTTTATACATTTCATTCGTTTTTAGGTTGCAAGCCTAGAAAAATTCATTTTTAGGTTGCAAGCCTTAAAATTTTATCTCATACATTAAGGAAAAAGCTAGAATGGTTCCTAAGGGAGGGAGAAAGAGATTCGGCACTTGATTAAAACATAGGGATTGTAACCCAGTACATGAATGATCAAAAGTAAATGGAGATCAGGAGATTCATATTTTTCCATTTAAAAGACACTCATTTCCTTTAGAGAGTTTCTGCTATTAAAACAGTTATCAGAAGAATGGACACCCAAAAGCATAATTGTCAGCCCTCTGATGCACTCACTTCAGATAATTCATGATTCAAAATTTCCAGCATCTTCGTGATGGAACTTAACTTATAACAAAGATGATGGGAACACAAGACTCAGAAGAGAAAGGCTAGATATTAAAAAGAGAATATATGATTTTGACTTCTAGCCCTCACCTAGATGCACCATTCACTGTCCCATTGCTGTTGATATCTTTTTTTTTTTTTTTTTACTTTAATATGAATTCTTGAAGAGATTCACAGGAGGCAGAAAGAAATGCATGTTCCCAAATGGTTTGAGTTTAAAGTTAATCTCTTACTGATAGGAAAGAACCACATCCCTAGAGTTTCTAGATGTCACTATGTTCTTAATTCAAAAATAGATTTCCTGGTTATACTAAGTACATGCTCACTTTAAGAAATATTGTTATAAGAAGCAGGAAACAATATCCCCCCAAATTTTACTGCCTAGAAGCAGCTTGCCACTGTAATGTTTTGACTTTTTTGGGGGGGGGTGGGGTAGCCCAAAATCAGATTTTAAAAATAACTTTTTAAATACACCAAAAGCAGACTCATGATATCCCTTCTGTCTCGGGAGGAGGAAAAAAAAAAAGTCTATAGTTTCATGTCTAGAGTTGGAAAACACCACACTACAAATGCTCCTGAATAGCCCAATTTTAAAAAATACAAATGTATTTTGTTGTTGTTGTTGTTGTTGGGCAGAATGAAGAATACTGTTTGGAAAATGTGGGCTTTTATAAAATGTGATGGTAGTTATTTTTTTATGTTAATTCCCAAAACAAAACTTCAAAAGTGTATGTTAAAGATTATAAGGTATCATCTACCAGCATAGGAAGGCAAGTTGTTTGTAACTTTCAAAATTTGAAAACACTTTTTTCCTCTTCCTGGGAAATTTACAATTTACCTCTTCCAGGATTTTCTAAAGTTTCATTCTACTAACCTTTAAAAACTGACCTTTTGCCCCAAGGTGAGAAGTTTAATTTAAAACCATGGTTCAGATGGACCTAACCCTTTTACATCTTCAGGAAGATACAGAGATTTAATCACTGTGTTTGATTCCCTTGCTGATAAAGCAATCAGATGACCTTATTTATTATAAATTGTGAAAAAAGAATGGACCACCCTTCTTCCACGTACAAATTGGAAGTAAAGTAGCTCTGATGTCCTGGGTTGTTAAAGTTAGTTGCTCTGCATTGCTACCCCTGCTAAATTTTCCTCCAGAAGCCTAGCTGGGGATTCTTCTGAAGGAGCTGTTCCAGTAAGTCTGCAGTTGGTGTTTCACTAGATTTTACCTAGTTATCAGCCACAGTAAAGACATAAGAATTCCACCTTCTAACCAAAATATGCTGTTGAACCAGCATCATGGGAAGTGTGAAGGTGATAAAGAAGTTAGCTATATGTGACTCTTGTGGTTTGAGGAAGAAAAATCTCTATTTCCTGAGCACTTCCTGTGTACTGAGCATTATATTTCATAGGACAGTACTTCCCAACTTTTCTCACATTGTGGCATACAGAAAAAATTACGAAATTTGTCACAACACACTGGGGCAAACGGATGAGACTGCTGTTGTCCAGAAAGGACTGCCAAGGAGCACTAGCAGTTCCAGACCCTGCCCAGCCATCCTGCAGGCTGAGCGCATTAACATCCCTGAAGGCCCACTTGTTCTCAGGACACGAGTGGGATCCTCAGCCAGATTACAAAAGTCTGCAGTATGGTCTGAGCCTTAAGATTTTACAAAGTAGTTTATATGGCATACATGAGTTAATGATAAACATACCTGGGTGACTCAGAACCTAGGCAACTTGGAAAAAGTCCTTGACATCCAGAGTGTCTGGGAAAACTAAGGCTCCTATAAGAAGTAGTTTTGGTTTGGGGGTCTGTAATTCTGGAACTGCAACAATGTTGGTGACAAGGTTAAGTCCCTGGAGGAAGAGAAAATAAAATGGAAGATCAAAAAAGAGGGGACAGTTATAAAATGGAATCAGACATGGGGACAACTTACTGGTAGGTTTTGGAATATATTTTGCTAAATAGGTGTTCTGAGGATTGTAATATCTTCATACTTGGAGTCAGATAGTCTTAATGTGACTTCTTGCTACGATACAGAAGAGCTAATCTTAAATTTATTTAAAGTTTTCATTTCCAAACTCATGTATTCAGTAGATTTGGTCATTTCTGGAATGTAAATTAAATATCCCTTGTAAAAATTACTGTATTGCTAGAACTCTGTGTCTGATATCTAATTAGGAGTTATTTTTCAGTGCATCAATCTCAAATGAGTCGTTATTTTCCAAAGTATAAGTAGTAGAGAAGTACTTGAGTGTGTAGCAATAATTCCTAATATTAAATAAACTTGGATTTTTATTGCCAAATAAACCCTCAGTGGAACCTAGTCACCCTTACAATTTTTACTCAGTTACAGAGTTTGAACTGGAAATCAGCTCATGGATTTAAAGAGAACTTATGTTGCTAAATACTGTAAATAATGTTAAGTGTCATAATTTATTGTCATGCATATGTTTTTCCCTTTGAGAACAGAGCAAATTAGCACAGTTTACAGACCCCAAACTTTGTATTAAAAATCATTATAGCTTAATAATGTCAAACTTCCTGCCCAAAATGCTCTTTAAGATAAAGGCACTCACCCTAGAGTCAAGCCTGGCTAGTTGAATATAAGCAAGAGATACTCATTCCCAAGTTCTCCATATAAAATAAAGGCAGAAATTAAAAACAAGAATTTTGTCGTATCATGGTGGTGCTTTAAGGTAATTGGGTAGATCATACCAATAGGTATCTGTAAGAATGAATCTAGCATTTCTCCTGAGGTGTTAACATATCCTTATATTATGCTCTCATCTATGATTATATACACGTTGAATTTATTTAAATTCCCATGATTCTGATGGCTTAGGTTACATTATAGATTTTAATATCATAAGTATCATTTTTTTCTCCTTTCTTGTCTTTGTAATTAATGAGTGTTTTCTGGTATTTTAAACAGTAGTTACGAAATTATAAAATCAAAATTTTTGACACCTTTTATTTTGAGTTAAATGATGAGTCAGTGAACGTCCTTTTAGAATTCCCTTAAGAGCAGTTTATTATCCCTCTGATTATATAAAGTCATTCCAAATTCTGTAGTATAAATGACTATCTCAAGTTCATAAATCAAATACTATCTTTCATTATAATAAAATTTCCATTACAAAAAGTTAGGTTCTCAAATAACTGAATGTTCTTAAATTTAAGGTAGTGATGATAAGCACAAGTACTCTACACATAGTCACTACTGTAACCTCATTCTTTAGGCTATAAAGTATAGTTGGAATCCTCCACATACACAGTCTTTGGAACTATTAGATGAGTTGAAATCCAACTAACTCTGAAATATAGCTTCCCTTTTTTTGCCCATCACATATTGTGATGATTCACTTTTTATGTTTCAATTCTTATTTCTATTCATTGGTACCCTGGTGAGATTAGGCAAGTAATCCCCTTGAAGCTGGTATTAAGACCAAAATTATGATGCTTTTCTTAATGGGGGAACTCTAAGACTACTCACTCAGTCCATTGAGGGGATAAAAGAGATGGCTCATTCCCATCCAGTTTTGTTTACAAACGGTGTTGCTCAAATTTAGGTGACTGGCTACTAGGGAAATAAATGAATGTGGAATTGAGGATGGAACAAAGAATTCAATGCTTTACAATAAATGGACTATATTTGAGAGTTCAAGAGAGGATTGGAGAAAATAACTGAGTATGTAAAAAATGGTAAGTTTCTGATTGTTCAGTTGAAGGCAAGTGGCTGGCTCACTGAAATGACATAATTAATAGTTTTCATCTGTGACCCTGATATCTTAGTCTCTATCTCAGAATTGAGAAATGAGCAGAGTTTATGAGAAAGGATTTTCATTGCTGGTATCTTTTGTGTGTGCATGATGTATAGTACACACAGCTCTCCTTATTGATCCTTCACAGGTGTATTATTTACTTTGCCTTCCAGGTGTCCGCAAATATGGTAAAGATTTTCAAGCTATTGCAGATGTAATTGGCAACAAGACTGTTGGCCAAGTGAAGAACTTCTTTGTAAACTACAGGCGTCGGTTTAACTTAGAGGAGGTATTGCAGGAGTGGGAAGCAGAACAAGGAACCCAGGCTTCTAATGGTGATGCTTCTACTTTAGGGGAGGAGACAAAAAGTGCTTCTAATGTGCCATCAGGGAAGAGCACTGATGAAGAAGAGGAGGTGTGTTTGTGTATGGAATTTGAGCTAATATGAGTTGAGGAATCATCATTTTGTGTGGTGTTCTATAAGGTTAATTTGTCAGAGGACTAGCTAAATGAGCATGAAAGGTTGACAATACACTTACTCAGTGGTGCCTCTCTCGTGACTCTCAAGTCCTAATGACATGCTAAGTTCTGTCCTAGAAGAATGGAGAGTGTATTGTTCTTTCATAGTCTTATTTTTATTTCCAGTGTTAAGCTGTTTACTAATAAAGATGCCTGTTTGGTAGCTTCGTTGCTTTTTCGGTTTTTGGTTTTTTGTTTTGTTTTGTTTAAAATAAAAGAAGCTTGTGCTTCCAAAAAACACTGGTGTTACGTTTTTGTTTTGTTTTGATTTGTTTTGTTTTTCCTGTGACATCCCAAACTATATTGTATTCAGTTCATTAGGAACTCTCATCTCATACATGTATTTTTGTTTCCTCACCTCTAGGCACAGACCCCACAGGCTCCTCGGACTCTGGGTCCATCACCTCCTGCCCCATCATCCACTCCAACACCAACAGCCCCCATTGCCACTCTGAACCAGCCTCCACCACTTCTTCGTCCAACACTGCCTGCTGCCCCTGCTCTTCACCGGCAGCCTCCTCCACTCCAGCAGCAGGCTCGGTTCATCCAGCCCCGGCCAACTTTAAATCAGCCTCCACCACCTCTCATTCGCCCTGCTAATTCTATGCCGCCCCGTCTAAACCCAAGACCAGTGTTGTCCACGGTTGGTGGTCAACAGCCACCATCACTTATCGGAATTCAGACAGATTCACAGTCCTCACTGCACTAAAATTAAATTGGACAGAGCTACAGTAACTCTTCACCCCATCATTATACCAGTGCTCCTCAGACTGATGCAAAAGAGGAGAGAACAGTCCCTCCTAGATGCTGAGGCTGCGAACTAGTTCTGTGGCAGTGGGCTAGCATAAGTGGATGTCTAGGAGATTTTTTGGTTCGTGCAACCGAACTAAATGTTACACGACAAAAAGCCTACAGTTAGCCTCCTTTCTAGAGTATACGTTCAGCGACATCTCATAAAAGGAAAAAAAAAAGATTAAGTATTCTATATACCAATGTTTTTTTTTGTTTTGTTTTTACTGTATTTATTTTATTGAGATTCTTTATATTTCTGCCTCTTCGTAGTCAAGGCTCTTAGTACAGAAATACTGACTTAGGAATTTTGAAAACTCCTTAAGTTTCTTAAGGATGTTTGACTTTTTTTCTTTCTTCCTTAATTTAATTTTTAACAACATTTTCCTATGTTAGGAGTGCAAGAATAAATAGCCTGCATTTCAGATTTTGACATATGTTCATTTAATGCATATTTAAGAATTATAGTGCATATCCCTTTTTTCAAAAAATCTTGCTTTTTTTTCTAAAGGAATTTTAATATATTCCTTTAAAAGAAAGCAATTGAATCAATTGCAAAGCAATTATATGAAACCACAAAGAATGTACTGAACCTACTAACCCTTTAACATACACTTTAGGGTCCTAATGCAAAGTCCTTGCTTAAAGGTCATTGACCTGTCATCTACCAGTAATAAGAGGATCGGAATAATAATTTTACATACAAATGAGAATTTGTTGAAGTACAGTGTCTTTAAGTTCCTTGAAAATAGAGTTAATTTTGATTTTTTTAAAAAATGTTTCTAAATGCTATCTGCTTTTAACTAGTAGTTGCCTATATTTGGGGACTTTAGAAGAGAATTATATTTTGTCAGTTATGTGGAGATAGTGGTTATGGAAGCATTTATTTACAATACCCTTTATGTGTTTAGGTTCTGACTTAAAATTGCCCTCACACTTATTAATATGGTCTGCATTTAATATAAAGGATGTTTTCTTGATAAATCTCTATTGTACTATTTGGATACATTTGTGTATTCCTTGCAGCTGACCAGTGCTTGTGGGTTTGGTTTAGGGTTAAATCAACATTATTTCATAAAATAAATTTAAGAATTTGTTCTGTGTTACCTAAAGATGTATCAGTATATTGTCACAATTGTGCTGTTAACTTAAAATGCTGAGACCCCCTTTTTATAAAGAAGCAAAAACATTTCAAGTCTTAATTGAACACATAAATCATTAAGCACCTACAAAGAATATTTTACAAGTAATAGTATTTCAACAATGTGTTACTAATATTTTTGATACGGTGATTTCATATTGGAATCATGACTTGTGCAAAGGGACAGATCACTTAGATAACTATACTAGTGGAACTTAAGGCTAAATGTTTGCACATTTATATTCTCATCATATCTGGAACTACTTCACGAAATAGTCAACATCTAAGGCCCTTGATTTATGTTTTGAGAAATCCTGTATTCCCAATATTGGAAAAATAGTCCCTACCACTGGCTCTAGAGCCTTAAGGAGCTATTAGATTTAAATTCATTGATTAGTTTTAATTTGGAAGTTTAGACCACTTCTCTTCATAAGGACCTTAAGTTCTGGCACAAACTTTTTCCAGGGCGTGTCTTGTCTTTCTCATTGGATCATCTTAAATAGTTCCTGCCCCTGGATTGTAACTAGATAAAAATCTGATTTAAAATTCTTAATATCCAAGAATTTATACTTATTTTTACTTTAAAAGCCACAGGGGGTGGGGGCAGGCAGTTATATATCTTAAAAGAAAATATCTAAAGCATTTTTTTAAAGTACTTAGATTGTCTTGCATATGTGCATACTATACGGCTTTTATTGTCTTGTCTCTTGTCAGTAGACCTTCAGTATACAGTGTGTGGGACATGTCAGTCAAGTTGGTCAGCGCCAGCATCTGTCCAGCTGTTAAGTATATTACGATTCGTTTAAAAATCTGTTCTATCCCAGCCGTGGGCCAAGATGCTGTATCTGAGGGATGTGCTGTGATTTGATTTACGTACACTAGAGCACACAGAAAAATCTGAGCTTCATTAGTAATATGACACATGTATATAGTGAGATGTCTTATTGTGTGCTTTGCATATTTTGTAAATATTTTGCACGTCATTAATTTTCTTTTTTGTTTAAGCAGTGTTTGGCCTGGAAGAGTGATATGCTTGCTGCTTAATCAAAGGATTAAAGAGTTAAAGATGTCTATGTCTTCTATTTTTATATAATTTCATGTTGTATGAAGAATTTAGGACCTCTTCACTGTGAAATTCTAAATATTGATTTTTATAAAAAAGCAAAATCTAGAAATATTTTAATGACTATTTCATAATGTCAAGGTTATCATTTTTGAAAAATCTACACCCAACTATTTTTTTCATTACATAACTAAAAATAAATCACACTGTTGATACGCCTGGTAATATTAATGAAAAAATATTTTTTCTATATTCTTTAATTCCAATGTAATATGGATGGAAGTAAAAGGTAAGTTTTGATCAGAACTTTTCCTTAATCAATAATCCCACAATTGAGTAAAATGCAATGTAGAATAAAGATGAAAGAATGTAAAATTCTGTCTTAATATAGGCCAACATTCTTTTTAGGACTAGATATAGGGAATAAACAAAGTGACAGTCATAATTTTAAACAATATTTAGAATATTGCCAAGTTTTTTGTTAAAGTACTGAGTTTAGTTAGTAAATATGTTGTACTATTTTAATGTTCTTCCTGCTATCAAAAGTAGACTACTCAGACACATTAATTGTGGCTGGTCACTTAACACTAGGGTATCAAGTCTCAAAACAACTAATAATCTGACTTAGAACTCAAGGCAGGATCTGTCTTTCTCTTCGTGCTTCCCCAAAATAAATGATGAATACATTCTAACTATAGGAAAACACAAGAAAAAGAAATTAACATGTTTGTGTTTTTTAACCTAGGCATTCATTATAGATATTCATAAGAAGATAACGGAGTAAGTGAAAACAATCCAATAATCAAGTTTGAGAAACCATGTGATATAAAATGTCTATAAGAAATGACCTCATGTTCTAACAGCATTAATGGGGGTACATAACCTGCCTTTTCTTAGGACAAAGTAGATCACAAACAACCCCTCCCAGCTTAAATCTGTATCATAATTTTACCTTAATGAAGGAATGTTCTGCAGCAATAAATTTTAGTAGCAATGGAGTTTGGGAGTAAAATATTAAAAGGAGTGTTCTGGATGTGTGAGTTTATATCTAAAAGGCCGTGTGGCTAGATTATGGTTTATTAATAAGGGAATGGGTATTTACAATGTGGTAACTTAAACTTTAGAATCCTAAAACTGGAATTTGGGTGAGCAGAGTCTCTTAAGGAAAAGAGGCTGGGAATGTGAACTAGAGAGATCTAGGAGCAGTCTTCTCAATGTAAATGGCATAAAGGTTAACCTCCCATAATGCTTTATATAATGTCTTTTTCCTCTGGATTATTTTAAGAAAGGTTACATTTTTATTCTGTATTGTTTAATTGTATTTAAACATACAGGGTACAGTTACCATAACTAAGGAGATCTTGAATAATATCACAACAAAAGTTATCTCTTGAGTCATCTAGCATACTTCCCAGAACAGCTTTCATGATTGATAGGGTTTGGCTTCAAGAGGCCTTTATTCCTAAGACCGTTTTGTTCGTATGTTGTTGCTTTTCCAAAACAGAGTTTGAGAACAGTCATTGAGGGGCTTGTCACTTCGCTTATATATGCAAAGGAGTCCTTGTACTATGGTGACTCTTTTCCAACCCCATTCAACAAGTTAACTTCACATCATGAGCCTCAGTTTATTTTTCTTCCCTTCCAAAATCTTACTGACATGACAACAACAAAAATCGAAATAGCCCCTAACGGTGCAGGAAAGCCAAGGCAGGTGCCACCAGCAGGAAACAGGTTTATGACAAAACCTAACAATTGAGGAACCTCTCAATTCCACGAAAGCAAAAGCACAGGGAAACATTCTCAGAAGTGCCCCATAATAACCTCAGGTTAGAGGCAGAGATAGGAGCAGCACCCCAAAGATTGCTGCTGCCTGGTATTCATGCCCTTGTGTGTGGGCTGGGTGTAGTGATTTGTTTCTGACCAGTAGGATATGGCAAGGGTGATGACGTCACTTCTGTGGTTAGGTTAAAAGATTGTGATTTCGGTCCTGTTAGTAGACTGTATCACATTCTCTGGTTGCATTGCAGCTGATGAGAGACCGTGAAGCAGAGAACTCAGCCAAGCTGTGCCCTGATTTCTTACTACAGAAACTGAATTAATAAGTGTTGTTTTGAGCTGCTAGATTTGGGGGTGGTACTCATTATGCAGCAGTAGAAAACCAATACAATAGATGTATACTATTTTTTTTTTTAAGATTTTATTTATTTATTTGACAGAGAAAGACACAGCGAGAGAGGGATCACAAACGGGGAGTGGGAGAGTGAGAAGCAGACTCCCTGCCGAGCAGGGAGCCCGATGCGGGACTCAATCCAGGGACTCCAGGATCATGACCTGAGCCGAAGGCAGTCACTTAACCAACTGAGCCACCCAGGCGCCCAGATGTGTACTATCTTAACAAAAGAAAATTGGAGTGACTAGATAAATGTCAAAGATTTCAAAGCAAAAAACATTATCAAAGACACAGATGGTCATTTAATAATGATAAAGGTGCCAAATCATCAAGAGGATCCCCATGAGAGCTGCAAGTAGGCAAATCCACCATTAAAGTCTGTGATTTCAATACCCATGTCTCAAAAATTAATAGAACATGAAAAGCAAAAATGAGTAAGAATATAGAAGACTTGAACAACACTATCAATCACCTTTACCTCTAACTGAAATTCATAGATCATTCCACCCAACAACAGAATACACATGAAATGTTTCCAAGATAGACCATATTCTGTGCCATAAACAAGTTTTAATAAGTGGAAAAGGATTCAAATCTTCTGGAGCTATGATGTCCTCTGAATACAATGGAATTAGAAATCGGCAACATAAATCAGCAAAATCCCCAAATATTTGGAAATTATTTCTAATAATTATTTCTAATAATTTCTAATAATAAAAATTTCTAAATAAGCTATGGGTCGGAAAATAAATTACAACAAATTAGAAAATATCTTGAACTGAAAATAAGAACACAATATATAAAAATCTATTGGATGCTGTGAAGTTGTGCCTAGAAGGAAATTTCTAGCTTTAAATATATTAGATTTAAATCATCTAAGCTTTCTTCTTTAAAAGCTAGGGGCAAAAAAAGTAAACTCAAGCAGAAGAGAAGAAATAAAGATCATAGTTGAAAAATAAATAGCAGGAAAACAATAGAGAAAAATCTCTGAAACCAGTAGTAGCTTCTCAAAAAGATCAACAAAATTGAAAATTTATTAGAAAATTTTTTAGATCAAGAATAAAAAGTGCATAAGTTACCAAAATCTAGACTGGAAGAGGGGTCATCATTGTGTAACCTACAGAAATGGAAAGAATTTGTAAAGGAATATTACTGAGTACTTTATGCCAACAAATTGGGAGTTGTTTATGAAATGGACAAATTCTTACCAAAACTGTCTCAAATAGAAATAGAAAATCTGAATCAAGAAACTGAATTTGTAACTTAAAATCTTCACACACAGAGAAGTCTTGTCCCAGATAGCTTTACTGGTGAATTCTATCAAATCCTTAAATAAATAATACCAAACCTACACAAACTCGGAAAATACAGGAAGAAAGAACACTTTCCTACTCATTCCATAAGAGCATTACTACTCTGATTCAAAGCCAAATGAAGATAAGAAAACTTCAGAGTAATATCTCCAGTGAACAGAGAAGCAAAAATCCTTAGGAAGATACCAGCAGCATCCCAAAAAGAATCGTACAACATAACCCAGTGGTGTTTATCCCAGGAATGCAAGTTTGGTTTAACAGTCAGAAATCAGTTAAGGTTGATTTCTTTCTGTCAATAGTTGACAGAATAGGGCGCCTGGGTGGCTCAGTTGGTTAAGCATCTACCTTCGGCTTGGGTCGTGGTCCCGGAGTCCTGGGATAGAGTCCCGCATCAGGCTCCCTGCTCAGCAGGGAGTCTGCTTCTCCCTCTGACCCTCCCCTGTCTTGTGCTCTCTCTCTCACTCTCTCTCTCAAATTAAAAAAAAAAAAATAGTTGACAGAATAGTTGATTTATTTCTGTCAATAGTGCAGGGTTTCTCAGCGTCGGCACTATTGACATTTTGGGCTAGATAATTCTTTGTTATGCATTGTACGATTCATAGCAGAATCCTCAGCCTCTATCCACCAGGTGCCAGTAGCATCCTCTCCCCCAACCCCAGTTTGACAATCATAAATGTCTCCAGCCATTACCAAATGTTCCCCAGGGAGCAAAATCACCCTCTGCTGAGAATCATTGCTGTATATCACATTAATAAAAGGAAAAGAGAGTCATATCAGTAGACATGACTGAAAAGACATTTGACAAAATCTACACCCATTCAGGATAAAAAAAACCTCTCAGAAAACTAGAAATATAAGAGAACTTCCTCAACCTGACAAAGGGCATCCATACGAAGCCCATAAGTAATGTCATACTGAACTGAATGCTTTTTCCAAGGATTGGAACCAAGGGAATGGTGTCTGTTCTCACAACTTCAACATTTTACTGGACATTCTAGCAAAGCAAAAAGGTGAGAAAAATAAAGGCTTACAGATAGGAAAGGAAGAACAAAAATTGTCTTTATTTGTGGATGACATGATCTTGCATGTAAAAAATACTAATGAACCTCCAAAAACCTGCTGGAATAATAAGTGAGTTTAAGAAGGTCACATGATACAAGATCAATCTAAAATCAATTGAATATATAGTAGCAATGAATTATCTGAAAATGGAATTAAGAAAACAATTTTATTCATAATACTATCAAAAAGAATAAAATAGTAATAAATTTAACAAAAATGTGAAAGACCAGTTCACTGAAATCTATAAAATATTGCTGAGGCAGATTAAAGAAGGCCTTTTAAATAAATGGAGGGATATACCATGTTTATGGATTGGGAGACTTAATATGTTAAGATGGTAATTCTCTTCAAATTCATTTATAGACAACCCAATCTCTATCAAAATCTTAACAGCTTGTTTTGTACAAACTGACAGGCTATTTCCAAAATTTACATAGTAATGCTAAGGACCTAGACCAGGG